ACCGAGTCGTGTTGACTGCATTCGGTTTGTAAGATAGCTCTCAAACCACTTTGACGCTTCATTTGACGCACCCAGCCCTTTCAGCTTGGTGAGGAGAGTTCTATGACATATGCTGTCAAAAGCCTTGCTCAAGTCAATTAGGACCATAGCTGTGATCTCCTTTTTATCCATCGCTTTATATATATGGCCAGTGACATGCAAACTCTGTCTTTCAGTAGAATGGTGTTTACGGTTTCCGCTTTGATGACAGGTGAGGTTGCCTTGTTGAGTCAAATAATTAGTGAACTGATTCAGGGCGATCTTTTCGGTCACTTTTGAAAGTACTGGCAATAATGAAATAGGGCGATTGTTGCTAGGAATCTCGTGATCACCATCTTTAAGATGTGGCACTACTTCCGACTTCTTCCAGGCCTTAGGGAAAACAGAGTTGCTAAAAGAAGAGTTTATCAATGCAGTTAGAGTTGGTAATATATACGGTAAACAGTCCTTGATCACAAACACTGGAATTCTGTCATAGCCTGGAGCTTTATTAGAAGGCATAGCCATAATTACTTTTCGCACGTCTTCACTGGTTATTGCTTTGAAGTCAAACAGTTCATCACAATGAGTTGAACCGAGATAAACAGGAGTAGTTGATAGGCCGTGAAGGCGAGCGAGCTCCACCGAGTCATCGGTGGCCTTCTGTCCCACAGATATAAAGAAGCCATTGAATTCATTAGCGAGTGCATCTAAGTCCTTGGTAAAGCTTGAGCAGCCTGATTTATTTGGGAGGGCACTGCGAATAGTTTTCCACATTGCCCCACTGTTGTTCTTATTTTCACAGATTTGATGATTGTAGTGCTCTCGTTCCGCCTTCCGTAAAACAAATTTAACTCTATTTCGCAGCTCTTTAAGAGCCTCCTAATCTTCCCTCGTCCCAGTCCTTCTCGCTCTTTTGTGAAGGTGGTCTCTCACCTTCATCAAATCCCTTATGTTCTCCGTGATGAATGGGTTTGGTTTATGTCGTATTTTCATTGTTTTAACCAGAGCGTGGTCGTCCAGACACGCCCACAGCAAGTCATTAAATGCATCGAGTCTGTTATCAACGGATTTGTCTATCAGGTTCATAGTATCCCATGGGATGTGCGCGATGTCATTTGCAAACTGATTGGCTTTATAATTCCGAAAACTACGTGTGACGATGTAGGTTGGGGCTTGCTTGGGTGATCTTAAGTTAATAACAGTATGAACCAGAAAATGATCACTTATAGTTATTTCAAGAACATCGCTCGACTTGACAAGGACAGGATCAGAGACCAAGATGACATCCAATAAGGAGCGTGAGTTCTCAGTCACGTGAGTTGGCTTGTCTATAAGCTGTGTCGCATTTACAGTTGCACAAAACGACAGCAATGCTTCTCCCCTCGGATTGTTTGAAAGGTCACAGTTTAAGTCGCCTGTTAGCACAATGTCCTTGTTGCGTGATAACGCTTCGATGTACTTTGGGAACAGTTCATTCTCTAGGCATGCAGTTCCAATTTCCGGGGGTCCGTAAACAATACAAACCAGCAACGAAGCTTCTTATTTTGAACTTGAATCCACTACTGGTGTAGGCCGGATTCGGATATTTCCGTGAGATCCTTCAGGACTTTTACCTTCAGAGTAGATTTTACGTAAGCGCATACACCGGCACCTGCTTTTCCAAGGCGATCAAGTCTAAAGACCTTGTATCCCGGGATTTCGACAACATTGTTGGTCACGGAAGAGTAAAACCAGGTCTCCGAGATGGTTAAAATATCAAAATCACGTTCCAAGGCTAACTCCTTCGTTTCAGTGAAGTGTTGTCTACATTTGAGAAGCTCTGCGTTAAGATGGGCTATTTCCAAGAGCTTGTTTTGGTTTTTATACACCGTTGATTGTGCATTCTTTGTCAATTGTATTCTGTTACAATTTGCGCTCACGTGTCCAACTGAGTCAGGGATGCGACGAGTCTGTCGATTCCCATGAATAACAGCAATCCTACTGCTAGTGGTATCTGGACCTGGTAATCGATGGATGTCGCCACTTAGTGAAATACACAGTTTCATAAAGTTAAAACTAGCACAAGAGTTAGGATAATATGAAATTCTTTGTTTAAAATATTTTCGCTGCGGATCAGTGAACCGGCACGTTGAACGACCGCACAGCTAAAGAGAAACAAAAGGCTCAGGAGTGGTATTTTGAACCCTTACAAAGGATGGCAGTTTACAAGGCAGATTTCCATGCGCGAAGCTAATCCATAACTCATCTGAATTGCAAAAATCTCCAAATGCATGTCTGGTAAGCGAAGAGTAGATCGAAATAACACTTCTTTCTTGAATATACTACGCAAAGCCTCTAGAAAACTCCAGTTCACGACGTCCTAAGCTCACTCTGTCTGCATAACGTAATAATAATAATAATAATAATAATAATAATAATAATAATAAGCTTCAACTGATAAGACTAATCAGCAATCTAATAGATTGGCTGGTATGAACTAGTGATCAGCATGATAAATAGTATCAATTAAAATCAAAGGAGAAACCCTATAAAGAACTAAAGTGTGAATTAAAATAACATAAAATATATAGAAAAGCTAATACTTATTTTAAACTACATAAATGATTAGATTTATCGTGTTCTAAAAAATATTCAAAAACTATCGCCTTAAATTTAGATAAAGACTGTATCTCTCGAATGTCCTTTGGTAAAAGATTCCACTCCCTTGCAGCAGTACATTTAAATGACGTTTGACCCATTTTGGTCTTTGTAGCAACAATGTTCAATAAGGTAGAGTCTCTAAAATCTCTGGTATGAAAGGCTGATCTCTTAAGGAGATGGTTCTCTAATTGCTGTGGGCAATTTATATTATGTATAATCTTAAAAACAAGATTAAGTCTTAGGAATCTACGTCTACTCTCCAATGATAATAAGGAAAGCTTACTACGCATTTCTTGAGAACATGTATTACGATTTGTAGAGAGGATAGTACGCATGGCTTGATTTTGTAACCTTTCTAAACGCTGTGAGTTGTTCTTTCCACAGTCCCCCCATACGATACAGCCATAGTCTACTATGGGTAATATCGTTTTTTATAGATATTTAAAAGCACCCTTGGGATATATCCTGGAGGCTAAATATGTAATATGCTTGTTCCAGCTAAGAGTACTATCTATATAAACACCTAAATATTTGAAGTCTTCACACTGTTTCAGAAGCCTCCCATCCATAATGATTTGTAAGTCTGAAGCATTTTCCACTGCGTGTTTTGATCCAATCAGGATTGCTTCGGATTTCTTGTGATTGCGGATAAGACCATCAGTACTGAGCCGATCGGTAACTCTTCCTTTAACATCTTTAGAGCTGGTGTCAATTCCTGTATCGTCGGCGTACAATACAATATCACAGCTATCACAAACGTCTGAAATGCTATCTATATGAATATTAAATAGAGTCGGGCCTAGCACAGAACCCTGCGGTATTCCATAGGTAATCGTCGATTGTTCGGAATCAGTTCCATCACATGAGACAAACTGGAGTCTTCCAGACAGATAGCTTTCAAACCACTCATGTTCTTTGCCAGTCACACCATGTTGAGCAAGCTTCTGTAGCAAGACATTATGGTCTACAACGCCGAAGGCTTTCTTTAAATCCAAAAACGCACATATTACTTTTTCTGATCTGTCAATAGCCATTTTCCATGAATCTACCGTTCGAATTAGGGCAACCATAGTTGATGAATGTTTCTTAAAGGCGCATTGGTGTTGTTTTATCAGACCAGCTTCTTGTGCATAATTAACAAGGGCCTTGTTTGTAAGAGATTCATGTATCTTAGAAATACACGGAAGCACAGATATTGGTCTGTAATTATCGCATTCTGCCTTTGACCTCCCCTTAAAAACAGGACTTACTTTTGCGATCTTCCATGCAGATGGGTATCGGCCACAATTGTACGATTGGTTAAATATCTTGGTTAAAGTTCCACTAATGTGGGGTGCAGCGATCTTCAAATACTTAGCCGAGATGTTGTCTGCACCAGTGGCCTTACTGGGGTTTATTGTCTTCAGAGCCATATACACATCTGAATCCAATAAAGGTTTAAACTTGAAGAGCTTAGATGGCAATGGCTTTATTGGTTGCGGTTCTGGGGAAGGTTGATTTGCTAACAATGTAGATGTAATCGTGGTAAAATACTAATTTAGTGAATTCTCTATAGCTGTCTTGTTAGTCACTTGGTTACCATCTATCAATAGTTTTTCAATCTTGGTGCTCCTATCCTTTGATGGAAGGACTTGATGAAGTGTATTCCAGTAGGCTTTAGGGTTAGCTCGATTTTCTTGAAGTTTATTCTTAAAATTGGCTTTTCTGTTTTTCCTGTTACTGCTAGTTACTTGGTTACGGAGTCGCCTATATTTTTGCCAGTCTTCAGTGAGACCAGTTCTTATGGCCTTTTTATGCGCCTTGTCCCGGTTTCTCATCATTCGTAGCACAGAGTTGTCTGACCATGGGTGCGTTTGCTTTCGGAGTCTTTTCCTTTTGATAGGAAAGTGGGAATCAATTAATGATTTAAACAAGCACTCCCAGGCGGAATACATGTCCTCCATGTCATCGAAAAACTCAAGAAAGGTCCAAGGAGTTTTCTTTAAGTCATTGATGAAATTTTTCCTACTTTCGTCGTTCCAAGTCCGTGTTGTCAAGATGTGATGCTTATGTGGACAAATTGCTGGGCCGTTCATAAGTCCAAAAATAGGGTAATGATCACGTATAGTTTTACTAAGAACTCCTGAAGATCTGAACAGACTTGGGGTAGACGTAACGAGTAAATCAATAAGAGATCTTGTGTTACAATTAACACGAGTGGGTTCTTTAATTATTTGTTCTAGTTCATTAGCAGCATGAAATTCCAATAATCTTTTTGTTTGACCAAGGGAGTCATTAAGATAATCACAGTTCAGGTCACCCAGTATAATGACTTCCAAATTCTTTCGAGTGGCATACCTCAGCAAGTCATCCAAATAATCAAAAACCTCCAGGGATTCGTTTGGGGCGCGGTAAACACATCCGACCAAGAAATTCGTTTTCCATAATTGCACTTGAATCCAAATAGCTTTCGAGTCTTCTTCCAAATCTTTTCTTCGAGTATATTTTAGGTCTTCCAGTAAATAAAGCGCTACCCCTCCTCCACGACGGTTGTCTTTTCTGTCCAAACGCTCTACTGAGTAATTAGGAATTGCTATTTCAGAGCCTTCGATAGAATTGTCCAGCCAGGTTTCAGTTATAGCGATGATGGGAGGAAATACTTTGCTAAAGATCAATCTCAATTCATCGATATGTTGAAGAAGGCTTCTTGCATTTAAATGAACCAGCATGTTCTTACGTTTACTTATAGTTTGCGTATTTCTGTCCTGTATTAAACTTGCTTCAGGGTCAAAACCTGGATTAGGATGAACATCTCCACAGAGGGCTAAATTATCCAGTTGAAAAGAAGCAGTTGAATTGCAGTGATGGTAGATTCTGCGAAGGAAGAAGTGCCTCTTACGCTTGGGAAGAAGCTTAAAACCAAGATGGCTGCCCAAAACAGAACGCTATACAAAAGCGTGGCACAAGTTGGTGATCTCACCATGCGCCAAGTACTTTCCATTAGATTGTGGAGACAAGCAACTCACTTCGGTTATTAAACATCTCTTGAGGTGCAACAAGTCTCTAGCACAAAAAATTATCAAAAAGAGGAGAATTTTGAGAGAGCGAGCAAAAGCACGTCCGACTCCCATGATGACCGCTGACTCATTTTTTTCACGTAGAGCTTGAGATGAGAAAATAGATCAAAAGTGGAGAGCACAAAAGGCCGTGTCTAGCAGTCATTATGCTAATCCTGCTCTCTGCCTCTCTCTGCCTCGTTATGCTAATCCTGCTCTCTGCCTCTCTTGTATCTCTAACAGATGCAAACGAAATAACTTGACTGGTCGTGCCCTCCTCTAACCTGGACTTGTAGCCTAGTTTGGCAAGGTCTAACAAAGACCGTTTCTCTAGAGACTTGATGCATTTCTCTAAAGATAGGTGTTTTTCGAGAGACCTTTGAAAGACCTTAACACACTCATCCTGAGGGAAGGTAAACACGGTCGACGATTCATTTATATGGTCAGTGGGATCATGAACCTGCTCCACTTCCGTCTCTTGCTTCTCCCTTGACTGAGTCGGTTTTGGGCTAAGGGGTTTAAATTTTTCCAGAAGAAAACTCAGATGAAAGCCAACTAATTCCATGCTCTGAAGTAGATAACATAAAGAAACAAGATCTACTTAAACAGCACTGCTCACCTACTTCAATACTTCACTCTGCACAGCCTGTGAAGAGTGCCCCTATGGTCCACTTTACTGTGCGAACAGATGAAATGTTTGCTTTTTACATCTTATGACGACATTTTCTTCAGAACCACCATATTCCGCAATGTTCGTTTTAAAAATTTTGTAGAACAAATCAAGGGCTATGAATTTATAAAGGGGCTAAAGGGCTTAAGTCTTTTACAAAGCAAAACCCCACGGGGGTGGCAGACACCTGCTCCTCCTGCATACCAGGGTGGGAAATGGATGCCTTTCATGCGTCTGAAGGCTATAACAAACGATAAACGTACACCCTTTTACTCAAAATATAAAAAATATATATTTGCGCGATGACATAATTCTAAAAAGGATGAAATTGTGAATTTTCATTAGACTAACCTTCTGATGTTGTTTCCGATGGGATCTCTTTTCCCTTTCCCATACCATAAGCGCGCCAAGCTACGAGAATTTCGTCTTTAAACTAGATATTGTTTAATTTGTTGATACCAATAATCTTTCTGTTGTCGTCTACTACTGCTTCCTGTTCAACACTTTGCATGACAGCAACTCGAACTCCTTCTATCCCCCATGCGAAAGAAGAACACTCTTCAGTTGTTCGGCATTGGTCACGTCATTTCCTTCATTTATGAAAGTCCTAATGTGATTCTTGCAGGTTGCAGCGAGCCTGTCTGTGGCACCTTTTCCACCCTGTGGGTCAGAAAAGTCAATGCCCTTGATTTCAATGCTGGTAGAGGAGGATATCACTGGGCATGAGAGTACGGTGGACGACGAATGATAACATCCTGCGTTATCTTGGCGAAAGAACGCCTTGTTAATCTCACTGTGCTCCAACTTGATGGTATTCAGAAAATCTTGCATGATTTTAACCACTGCAGCACTGCCTTGATTGCACGACTACACTATGTGCAGAAAGCACTGCCACTGGAGTACCCCGCTCACACGACGGTAGACGACAGAAACGTGCCAGGAGATGCCTGTCACTAAGAGCAAACAACACACAATGGTCTACTACGTTAGAGGGGCTAGTAACATGAACCTGTTGACAAAACAAAGTTGAGATTACTTTAATATAATAATGAATCAAATGATTTTTTAATCAAACAAATATTATTAACGTAAGGGGGCGAATAACTTTTAACCTTAACCTTAGAAAAGACCACTATCCTCTTGCGCGCATTGTTAATCTTAAGAATTTATGTAAGCTAGTTATATGTGCACCATTTAGAGAAGAAAAAGAGTACAAAAAAATTTTTATATCGATGCATGTTTCGAAGAAAAACGTCCCTTTACGTGAGCTCTGCCCGAAAAAGATGTCCCAACGTGAAGAAAATGCTAGAATAAACACAACAGATGATTTGGAACAATTTGGCCACAAACTGTGGCAGTTTTAATTAAATCAATTATAACTAAGTGATAACAAAGAGCGGAATATCTGAACTTATCAACCGATAATGTCAACGTGGGGCGACAAAAAACGCCACCACGAAACACAATGGATAAGGCTAATGATAAATTGGATAATTAAAGAAATATTGAGAACCCGTTAGAAGGTGATAGGGGTGGTGGAGGGAAAAGATTTCTTGAGCACTTGACGTTCGAATGGCGAGGGATAGAAGGGCGAATCAAGGAATTTCTCCTGGTTTTAACATAGCAAACTCCGCCCTTACTACTGATTGGTTACTGTTCGTACCTGGTACAAACCTCCCAACGGGTTATCATATAAACATGCCCCGACATAAAAAACATTATGTCTAGACATAATGTTTGTCTTTTTTTCGGAATGATTTTGTTGATGAGGTAAAATAAGTCCTTATTTTTTAGTTTTATTCAAGCTGTCTTTCTGGAGTCAGAATTCACATTACCTTATAGTCCCCCTTCAAATACTGCTTGCTTGTCATAAGAGCTTGCACAACTGTAGTCTCCCACTCCTTGCCGGAACCTAATTCCCCGATTTGGCATACAAGGGCCACGAGATCATCAAATGCGTGAGCGCCTTCAGCTGCAAAATAATCTAAGTCCTGCAGTGATTTTCTTACAGAGGCACTGCATTTAGAGAGTACCTGTCTCATAGTAGTTTTGCTGAATGGTTTGAATTTGGTCTCCAAACAGTACTGAGTGTACTGTTGTACCACTCGCTTGGGTATCATCATACGGCTTATGTTAGGTACTTGAATAACCTCACCAGACGAAAGCTTGAAATGTTGTTGCCCAAATGGAAGGTCCCAAACAAGATGTGGGCTCGTGATGAAACCAAGAAAGTAGTCAAGCTGCCTCAAGTCTACTCGTATTCGTGTGGTAGGCTGTTGTGGAACTTGAGCACCTCGGCCAAACTGTGATCGATGGAGATTAGCCATGGAGTATTGGTATCTCGTCAAACTCGGGATATAATGGGAAATGTTGTTGAAAGTTCCAACCCCTGCCATAATCGAAAGCACTTGTCTACAGGTATCCCAGCTGGTTGCATTCCGGTACGCTTCTGCTAGGGCCTCTAAATACAAATGCTCTGAATGTGACAACTCGCTTACACCTAAGGCCTTGTTCATAGTTGAAGAGGAGGCTAAAAATCACCAAAGTTCACTAGCATTATCAGGGATGACGCTCTTTAGCACAGTTGCTACCATTTCTGCAGCTCTCCTTGTCTGACGTTGTTTTGTTCGCTCAGAGAAATCACTCCAGGAAAGCCATGGCTTTCCAAGCGGTTCAAGTTTGCATGCTACCAGGAACTCACTCAGTTTTTCGCGCGGCTCAGCTAAGATCACAGGTGTGGGCTCGTCACTCTGAGTGGAAGCTGTGCTTATTGTGTCTGGTGACAGAAAGGTGTCATCAGCGATTGTAAGACGTCCAAGGCTTTCTGCGAACTCTTCAACAGATTGACTGGTATCACTTTATCCTGGAGATGAGTTTGAGCTGTTCTGTAACATACAAACAAGACGTTTAGACATCAATGTTACTACAATACTTTGTTTATTTTGTCACTAGGCATTAGCCTTTTTAGTAAAGTTCGAAACTTAAGTTATACATAATTTAAAATAGAAAATATGAAACTACATGTATACCGTTATCATTATCAATACTCCTGCTCCGGCCAAACCGAAGGGAATTTAAAGAAACAAACAGTGACCTATTCGTCTTAAAATCATTTTCAGAGTCATTTTCAAAGTTTACAGTTATTCACAGTTGCCCAGCCCTTTCGGAATTTCGACATTTGTTATGTTGGAATAACTGTCTGTATCCAAGGTTACAATTTACTTAATTGCATTTGCTTCTGAAGTCTCTAGTTTTACGCATGGAGTAACTTCAATCATTAGTGCGGGTGTCACTTTCTGTTGTTGGTTTGTCTCCGCAAAATGTTGCTCGCACATTCTGCAAAGAGCTGTGGCAAAAATAAATGTTAACCTTGTTAAAAGGCCATCGCCGGGAGTGGTGAATAAAGATCTTTTTTGCTATCGTAAGTGTTAATATTAGGTTTGCAAAATGTTAATGCCGCAGTTAAAAGCCTGCGATTGTTAAAGAGATGAACTCGTTTGCTTATTGTTCTTGCAAGCAGGATACTAAAGAGTGGTATGCAAGTATTGGGGACAATAATTTTGTCAAATGGAAGGGAACATTTCGGTTCGACCAACCGAAATAGCCTGACCGACCGAAATAACCTGACCGGTCAAAGTGGACCAGCTTCAAAGGCGTTCCCAAATATTCCGGTAGGACGGAACCGAAATGGTCCATTCCATTTGATTTCTAACCAAAACCTCCGGAATTTTGGGCTGAATGGAAAGCATCCAAAGATTTTCTCAGAATAACATGACCATCGTGAGGTCTGTGATAAAGAGATGATGGAAATGTACACCACTATTAGCCGTTACGTAAGACGGTAAGACAGTTCATAAGATTTACCTGCTCTTGCAAACAGCAGTTTCCATTCAGTGTCAAGTGCTGTATCTGCTTTTAATCCACACAGCTCGCAGTGCCTCGGTATGTCCCTTGTACAACTTCTTAAAGCGAGAACTTCAACTTGGCTTGGATAATCGCTGTTTAAACCACAGGGTGTGGCGACGTGTAATTAACCAGAAAAACTACATGAGTGAAACGTTGCCTAAGCCATGACAAAAAACAAAGTTCTCCCAACAAACGAGACAAACTCCTCTAACGCTGTTTCAACATTTCGTAATACTAGACGGGAATAACTCAATTACAAATAAAATCGTAGAAGCACGTGCAATAGTAAGTGGCGAAACAGTTCGTGACAATATATAAATTTTATTCCAGAGGTATTTCACCTGAAAATGTTGTAAAATGTTATATTAATAGCGGAGCTCCAGCGTAGCCCCATAACTATACGAAACAGTAGTAACCCATCAAGCCGAAAAAATTTGGTTGTACGACCGTACGACAGCTCGACCATACAAGGTGCTACTTTTAGCATGCGCGGCCAACTGTACCACGGACACTATCTTAGCCATTACGCAATGGAAGGGCGAGGGAGAAGGTAATGTGCAGGCGCGATTGCGTGCGTAATGTGGATACCCCATTAGTGTGCGCCAAGAGACACCGTCAGATGACGATAAACTGCGCATACTCGAACGTCGAGTTGCAGTGTAGCGTCCTGAAGGCACACGGTTAGGCATTGCACAAGGGCTTCACGTGAGCTAGTAGATGTGATTTGCCACCTGCCAAGGATGGGCCGATACGGCTCTTTAGAATCGATACGATACCGAGTACGATATTTCCTTTTTTCTTCGATATCGATATCGATACCGATACTATGACGTCATTGAAATAACTGTAAGTCACGTGATCTAATTGACTAAGCTAAGGCACTCTCGCACGGTTTCCGGTTCAGTTTTCTATAGTAGCATCAACAAGACAGTCAAACAAGTCAAAAATTTCAATTTATTGGGACACATTTTTAATTATCTCGAGTAAATGAAGAAGACCGCAATGGTACAATCTTTAAGCAATCTGCAGGTGCACAATGAAATGTTACCAGTTACTGCACGGGTGATTTATAATAACCAAATACGGGTGCCCGACTTATGATGGATCTTGCGCTTTAATACTCGATGCATCAGAGCCTCCCTGGTATACAGGACCATACAGAAGGGCCATACTTACTATTCGACGAGTAAACATAGGGACTTGACACATATTACTAGACCTCAAGTATCGGGTATCTAACGTCTACTTTACTTTCAGCCAGCCAAGTTAGCTAAAAGAAAGAGCTTAGCAGCAGGTAAAGAAAAATCTCAAATATTTTTGTTTAAAAACAAGAACATGTTCACATTCTTTGCCCTCAGCCGATTACGTCCCATGGAGACTACCTCCCCTACTTTAGAGAACACCCTTTTGGCGGGAAAAGATGTACCAGGGATGCAAAGATACTTCTTCGCAATTTTGTGATAAGTTCATAGTATCGCTCATTCTCCTTCCACCACAGTAAGGGATCTTGGAGTCTTGCCAGCACTGGTTCTTCAAAATACTTTCCAGCTTCCAGTGTTGCATTGCTGGTTGAGGTTCTTTGTGATGTTGATTGCTTGACCACTGAGTCGAAGAGATCCCAGGGGCCAGCTGCTTCAGTTGTAATACTGGGTTGCCTATATTCATTGGAATCATTAGTCTGGACATGCCCTGACATCTCCTGAACAACCCACTGCTCTGCCTTTCTCACGGCTGCCGAGTCACTGAACGCCAATTTCTTTATCCGGGGATCCAGTAAGGTCGACATCGCCAGCATGCGAGCGCTCTAGATATTTGTGAAGTGGCGTCTCATCTGGTAACTAAGGTTGGAAACCAGGGGTGTGTCCTTTTCTGTAATCGCACCAGTCAAACGCTGTAGTGATTTCGACAGAGGTATCACCTTAGAAATGGAGATATGCTTGTCCGCAGATATCTCTTTGGTCGTTGCCTCAAAGGGTTTCAAAACGGCCATGGCAGCTTTCAGCAGGCTCACATCAGAAGATGAAAGACACATTGCACTACGACCAGAGAGACAAAGTGCTGTGGTAATGGCTTGATGTTCCTCCGTGATGCATTCAAACATGTGGTAAGTTGAGTTCCATCTGGTTTCCACTTCTTGGATAAGTTTGTTCTCAGGAATTCCCAGCTGCAGTTGTATCTCCTTCAGATTTTCTGAGGCCTTAACGCTGCGGTGGAAAAAGCTCACAATGTCCCTGCAGCTCTTTCTAAGCTGATGGATCTTTGTGTCAGCCTTAATTGCCTCAGAAACTGCTAGATTCAGGGTGTGTGCAAAGAAAGGGACATGTGTCCAAACAGTGTGTCTGACGGCGGCAACAACGTTGGCAGCATTGTCAGTAACCATCGCAACAACTTCTCGGGAAATTCCCCATTCTTCCGCAATTTTTTGGAATGACGCCGCTATGTTCTGAGCCGTGTGGTCGTTTTTGAACCCAAACGTCTCTAGAACCAGGGACTCATGTTCTCATGTGGAAGTAACAAAGTAGCAGGTGATAGTAAGATAACTTTTTGTTGTTCTTGATGTCCACAGGTCACTAGTCAGAGCTACGTGAGAAATCTGCAAAGTTCCCGCTTTATCTCCCCGGCACGGGTTTTGTACATATCAGGTAGCAAACTTCTTATTATGTGTCTTCTGGAGGGCAGCTGGTACCGAGAATCAAGCAAACGCACCAGCGACTGAAATCCAGTGTCCTCTACAATGGTTGCTGATTGCATGTCTATTGCAATCATTCTTATAAGGGCCTGATCAATGTTCTTGCTTCGTGCGCATGTCTGCGAATACTTTTGCCAAGTTTGTGCCATCTCCAATATGGTACGCTGCCGCAGGTTGTCAGCGGTCTTACGCCTCTTGGATGCTTTTTTTTCCTCCTTTTTCCTCTGGTTTTCAGCTTCTTTGTGCTGAGGCGGGTGTTTTAATTTCAAATGCTATAAAAAAAAAGGAGTAATCTTCGATTTAAGATAAAATATTGAAAAGCCCTTCAAACTTCAGTGGACAATACCTTTAATAGATTTGACGTGTTATTTGCATGCTTCACAACATCAGAGCAGATAGTGCATTTTGAGATTCCCACAACTTCGGTAGACCTTGTAAAGAAACGCCAGACAGCGCTCCTCAGGTGCTTTCCTGCATCAAAGTTTCCTGACGAAGAAGCATTTGCCTCGAGGTCACTGTTGGCAAAAATTGCATTTTAGTTGTGAATCGCTTTCGGGATAGACTTGGTTGCCTACAACAATAGTATGTACTAAAGTATAATGGAGACTTACGGCGCTTCCATTGGCACTTGAGAATTAGAAGTGACCTCTGAAACGTCTGACATATTTCCCAGAAACAGTTATGGCATGTAAGTCAAGCTTAGGAAACGGAAGCAAAATTAAGGGCGTATTTAAATCGCAACGCACTGACTTTGATCAGTTCACTCTTACAGCGCTCACATTGTCATTCGCTGTCGTTGCTGCGACTCGTAGAGTGCCAGCAAATTAACGTTCTCACGATTCACCAAAAATTATCACTTCCATAGCAATATGGACGAAGTAATGTTCAGGTGCGATTTTCCAGTGGGAAATCATACTAGACAGACTTTGCTGTCGTCTCACGCTTATCTACAGTTGTTTTATTATTTTTTCTTTAAGTCAGTAACCTTTCTCAATGCTTTTCTCGCTCGAGGTTTTTCTTTAGTAAGCAAGCATAGTAGTTTGCAAATCATTTTTGTTACTCTAGATATGTCCTTGTAATGCCTGGATTGTTGTGAGTTGTGATTTTGTTGCCGTTGTGTTGAGTGACTTTACATTTACAGTTTACAAAGTCGGGTCTGTTGCTCCAGTATCATTCTTGTCCTATGCACGTGCAGCAGCCAGTATCCTATTTCACAGTGAAATGTTTTACTAGGGAATGGAAGAAACCACCACTTTGACCGGTACATTGCGGTATTCCTACATTGCACACGATTGGGCACATGCACGATTACGAGTCCGGAATCTTTTGGGCTACTCGTCAGCGGTTAGTCGCATGAGATTAAAGCGCGGGTAGGTCACCTGCATTATCGAAAGAATCGATACTCTGCGCAAGTATTGATATTTTTCGATCCGACCTCGGTATCGCTGGTATCGAATATTTGGTATCGGTATCGGCCCATCCTTACTACTTGGATATTCTCTTTTGAAGTGTCACACCCTCGGAATTTCATAAGAAATTAAGAACGACAAATCCGTATATATAGAACAAGTGAAGCACATTTTAAACTTTCATACGATTGTGGGAAACTATACTTAATTAACTCTCGATAAATTGGCCTGACATAACTTGCTGATTATTTAATTATTTTGTAGCCCCAAAAGCCCGGCGTGTGACCCTGGAGGTACTGAACTTGATATATTTGATACACAAGGCACCCTTCAAGTAATAAAGTTAGAATAAAATTGCTTTTATGACCATATATTGCACTCGGTTTACATATGTAGATAATTATTTAAAAAATACCTATTATAGCTGTATTCAGAAGCATAGATATGAAGGCAATACGCTTTTACTTTATTTTATTGTAAGGGGTTTCTTTTTATGTAACATGTATCCATCCTTTAATTTCCTTTTTAACCTGCCTGCAAATAATTGAATTTTATGTTTGACTTCAATATAAAACAGAAGTCTTGCAGAGTTCTCATTTCAGATTGAATTCAGGTAAGAACATCAGTAAACAAGTTAAAATCATATAATTCTCCTGAATCTTTTATTTTATTGCCCTGGTTTTTTTTAAAGAAACACCATTTTATATCTCTGTGTGACAGCTAATGATTCAAACCTCAGTGAATAGATATGCTATATTTTAGTGGTGCTTTAAATTCCATCTTTTTTTTTCACCAGTTACTATTTTAAAATTCATAAATGGTATTCCCTTTTCATCCTTGTAAAGAGATATTGCACATTTCTTTAACTAAAATATGAATTATGAAGTCAAGTTAATTTCAATGAGTTTGAAGCTTCATTCTACATAAGAACACTTTACTGGAGTATAATGTTGTATTCATTTGCTGTCTTTCTGTTACACATAATTACCATGTGTCTTAACCCTTAGACTCCCACAATTTCATGAGTAATCCTCCTTACTGTCTGCCATACAATTTATGTGAAGTTAAATTTGAGAATTTGGAATTGGATCAACCAATAATCCTCAAATTGATACTTGTCTTAATTCTTGTTACTTGTCCGCTTTATATCATACTTACAGTGTGAGGAGAAATTCTGTCTTGGTCACCAATGGGACTTAACCCTTTAGCTCCCAAGATCTCATTAGCAATTCTTCTTACAATCTCCTATACAGTTCTTGTGATGTTAGTTTAGAGTATTTAGTATTGGATCATCTTATAATCCCCTAACTGATATTTTTCTTTATTCTCATAGCTTGTCTACTTGATATTGTTTTGATATTGTAAGGAGAAATTCTCTCTTGGTCACTTATGAGGATTTCAACATATTGTAATGATTAAAATATTCTTAGGCTTTCAAATGTAAAAAAAAAATGTGATGAGAATCTGATGATATGAAACACTTGCAATGGAAAAACCTGTTGCTGGTAGCTTATGTCTTTAACATTACAACTCCATAGCGGATTAAATGTGAACCTCAAAAATTGAGGTTGTTAAGTATTCATATATTCAGGCTATTGTTCTTTCTCATTACTTATTCATTCCGATGAGTTTGCCGACATGCCGGCATGCTTCCGAAGATCGTGAAGAGCGCAACCTCTTTGATGTAGGTGAGATATTTTTCTTTTGTTAACAGATGAAATAAACTCTCCCGGGAATCTGCGTTGTCCGATTTGCTGACAACTTTCGCTTTTGTCCAAATTCCTAACTGATCGACAGCTTCGACAGAATCGCCAACACTAAACTCCATCGCGACAATAAACAACACGGTCAGATCACAACAAGTTCATTCGAACAAGACGAAAGTTGTGAAAGAATGAACCGCCAGCGCGCGAACACGAGCACTATTTATGACACGCAATATTTACATAATAAAGAAGTAGTTTAATTCAAGTGCAATCATTCGGATCAAAACTAAACGATCGGCGCTCGAAATGATAAACTATTTTCGCTTTTGCTCTTCGCAGTGATTACAACAACTCGTCCAAGATCCATTTTTAAATCTTTTGCGACGCTCTTTAATCCTAAATACATATTAAGGCTAAAAATACACCGTGAATAGAAACTAAATCCATTCAAATGATTGCAGTTTATCGATCTCGAGTTCATTCATCTCAAGACAATGTAAACAAAAGGATACAAGATCACAAGTCTGTTCGCGCAAGGTAGCTTAATTACACTATTGTCCAAGTCTTTTGAAGTACCTTCCGCAGTTCCTTTGGTCTTCTTCCAAAATATCTCACCTTTTTTGTGCACGCATAAAACGGTACGACAACACAAACTTGAACACGCGTACTTGTAATTATGAAATGGACTTTACAATCTTGAACGAACGTTGTACGGTTTCGAAAACTAAAAGGAAACAAAGGAAATTTACAACTATAAATACGGAAAAAGGCTAGACAAACAAGAAACGAAACCAAAAAAAAACTTACGTTTGTGTCCTTATAATATAAACGATGACGTTAAACGGGCGTTGAAACGATTCTCCACTTCGATCGAGCACATGTATTTTTTAACTCGCAGCGCCTCTCGGGATCTAGCTAATGAGTGCGTGACATCACGCATAACGGCAGTAACATTCCCGACCCCTTAAGCGATGCTTAACATGGAAAGTTCTTAGCTACAAAATAAAGTAGTAATTATGAAAAATAACTTGTCATGTCCTTTGCTAAAGCTAACGAGTCTAGTCCGTCACACAATCCGCTTAAAGAAATAGGGACTATGAATATTCCATGAAGGTTCAGCCCTTACGAGCTTCCTGTTTCATTGTTCATTATCGAGGCACGATTGTTCTTCCTTAGCTAGCAAGAGGACAACCTTGTCAACTGGTCTGCGTAGTTGGGAGGTTTGGGTCTTCAAATGAACCGTGCGTACCAACCCCTTCTTGTCTGATTCCGCGCTTATGACTCGTCCCATCGGCCAAACACTCCTCGGGCAGTTGTCGTCTTTCAACAGGACAACGTCTCCGACAGCTAGATTCCGTTTGGGACTGTTCCACTTCGAACGAGGTTGGAGAGTTGGGAGATATCTCTCTTCCAACGCGTCCAAAATAAGTTTGCCAAGTACTGCACTCTCCGCCAGCGCCGCCTCATATAGACATCTGCGCGTTGAAAAACTCCTGCTGGGGAAGTACAACGCTGGTTTTCATCGTCAGGAGATTGCTGGGACTTAGTGGGTTGAGGTCATCGGGATCACTCGAAGCGAATGTTAGCGGTCTCGAGTTAATGATAGCTTCAACTTCACATAGTAGAGTTCTAAAGGATTCGTCATCCAGACGGGAGCCATGCTCATGGAGTAGAACAGTGAGTACTTTGCGGGTAGTGCGAATCTGCCGCTCCCAAATGCCGCCCATGTGGCTGGCACTCGGTGGGTTGAAAATCCAATCTGTACCCTCTAGATGCAGCCTGCTTCTGATTTGCTCGTTGTTCATTTCGTAAACTGCTTGCTGTAACTCTGTCTTGGCGCCTACAAAATTTGTTCCGTTGTCGCTCCGGATCTCTCGGATAGGCCCACGACGAGCAATAAATCGCCTCAGAGCCTGGATAAATGAATCTGTTTCGAGAGAATTGGCGGTCTCAATATGCACTGCTCTACTTGCTAAACATGTGAAAAGGCATCCGTACCGTTTGAGTCCCTTTCGACCTTCTTTGATCATGTACGGACCGAAGTAATCCACGCCAGTATACGTAAATGGCGGGGCTGGAGTCACTCGGTCTTTAGGCAAGTCAGCCATTTTCTGTTCAGCGACAGGGGGCACGATTACGGCGACAAGTAACACAATTTGCGATTAGGTGACGAACAGCAGCATTGGCACCGGTGACCCAGTACTTCTCCCTCAATTTAGCAAGTGTGTGACCGCGGCCTGCGTGTGCTAGGCGTTCGTGTAGGCGTTTGATAATCAAGTTCGTAACGTGACTCTTGCGAGGTAAGATGATGGGGTGTTTCGTTTCTTCTGGAAGATCGTCAGCGCGGCTAAGGCGGCCACCCACACGAAGGAGGCCTTCATGAATGTAGGGATCCAGCCGAGTTAGGGAACTTGCTTTCTTCAGCACCATTTTCTTTTTGCTTTGCCCGACCCCGTTCGTCTCCACCGCCTTTGTCACTGACTTGTCTGAGAGCGTCAAACTCTCTACTGAAGGACTGCAACTGTACGAAGCGAAGGATGGCCATCTCGGCCTCTTCAAACTCTTGAACTGAGAGCGGTGCGCAGCAGTCACCCACTACCTTCGTTTCAGCTTGTAGTGACTTCACGCCCGACCTTGCCTGACCATGGTCCGAATCTATCTCGAGAGAACCCTGGCCTCTAATCTCCTTCCGTTTTCGCAATACAGCCTTGATTCTAAGGAATGCGGCCACCGACAATCTCAGGCGATACCAACTCGAGTGGTATTCTATTAGTTTGTTAACTGACGTAGCCGTGGCTTCCATTACCATGGTACCGGCGGAAGCAACTTTTCTGACCTCAGGGTCGTCATCTGGGACCTCACCGACTGGAAAGGGCTGCTGCGGCCAGTCCTTTTCTGATTTCCCTAGGAAGTGTGGACCATTTGACCAGCGTTGCTGCTGCAGAAGTCCAGCGGCGGAAAGTCCTCTTGAGGCATCATCTGCCGGATTGCTACTGGTGTCCACGTATTTCCACTGCATAGGACTAGTGAAGTCCCTGATCAATTGCACACGATTTGCCACGAATATCTGAAACCTCCTCCGCTCGTTTCTTATGTAGCGGAGAACCGTCGTCGAGTCGGTGTGATAGATGATAGACTCAGGCTTAACTTCAAGCTCTTCATACAGCATTTGTCCCACGCGAACAGATACGGTTGCTGCAGTTAATTCTAAGCGTGGGACTGTTACGGCCTTAATAGGTGCAAGACGAGCCTTCCCCATTAAAAAGGAACAATGTATGCGACCCATGTTATCCATTAGACGTAGGTAGGCAACGCATCCATACCCCACCTGGCTTGCATCGGAGAACAGATGGAGCTGTCTGGAGACAACTGGGCCAAAACCCGGCGGTTTGTGACACCGATCAATGTGAAATTGCTCTAGTAACGGAAGCTCTCCACACCATCTTAGCCATTTACTGCGGCAGTCTTCCGGAATGTCGTCATCCCAGTCGAGATCTTCATTGCGGCAGAGATCCTGTAACAGCTTCTTCGCTAGAAGTGTGAAAGGAGCGATGAAGCCCAGGGATCAAAGATTGATGAGATGGTGGACATGACTCCTCGTCTTGTAAACGGTTTGCTGTTAATGACGATTCGAAATCCAAAACAA